AGGATAACTCTGGAATGAATACCTTCTGTCACACTTGCTTCCATGTATCCGAAAGCTGGGAAAATCCTTAAATTTGGTGGGTGAATTTTGCATAGTGTCCTTGCTTTGATTCCTGCCTAATGCCCTTCAAACACACAATAACACCTTTTGCCGATTCAGGGCTTGTTTTAACATGCAATTGTAAAGGGAACCCCAAATCTAAACAGAAATACAAAGAGGTTTTGACATGGCGGGGGTGCAAGACCTCAGCCAAGGCCTTGGACCTGCCTGGATGCCTCCGGAGGTCAGGACCTGCCCTCCATGCCCACCCCCTGGAGGCAGAGAAGGGGAGCCTCTGTCATCTCAGCGGCTGTGTCTCATTTCCACATTTGGGAGATCTGGGAAGAGGACGGACAAAAGGCAGAGACCTCAAATTTTTGTTTAAGGTTCTTCTTGCTCACAACTAGGCCCTGGGAGAGGCATTTTTTTTAAAAAGGAGAAACGCTGCAGAAAAATTGGGGAGGCATTGATAAGTTGGGGGTGAAAGGGCATGGAGGCAGGGAAAGAGGGGGGGCCTGCGGGAGCCAGAGGTGGCCCACCAGCCTGACCTTCTGCATGACTCCCCAGATGATCTGGGTTTTGACTTGTTTTTATTGGGTTTTGACTTGTGAGCCATCCAGAGACCTGGAATGTATTGGACGGGGTAAAAATACCCAAATTAAAAAAAAAATAAATACATTCCTCCTTGCCATTTCCTGTTCTCTCTGATCCAAGAGAAGGGTGTGGGCAGCTGGGATGCTGCTGGGGCCGAAAGCATGGGAGTGGGAAGGCCGAGTGCCGCACGGAGCCGAGGGCAGCTGCTCTTCCTGGTACGGACGGGTTGAGTCTGTGTGCAGCAGGAACTCCGTGAGTCCCTCATGGGGGGGGGGGGAGTGGAGTGGAGCATGGGCATCGGGGCACGAGGTCGCACCTGGCCTGGGAAGCTGGGAGGGGGCACAATCCTTAGCAGGGCTGAGTCCCCTGCTGCACTGCAGGGGACACTCCTTCTAAGCAAGGCCACTTGTGTGCGTGGCTGGAACATCTGCAGTGCAACGAGCACCCCGGAACCGTTGTGCTGGTCGCATTACATGCTCCGTCAGTCAGGAGATACTTCCCTGGATGGGACTGACGTTAACGGATCTACTTGGCCTGCTCAGCAAGAGGAGACTGTGCTGGGGAGGCCCAGCTCGTTCTGACCCAAGTCTTTGGGACTCTCCTGAACCGAACCAGAGCCGGGTTCAGTGCTGCGGGGACCGCAGGAAGCCTGGTTCAAAGCCCTTTGCAGCCACGGAGCTTGCCGGAGAACCTTGCCGGACGACGGCAGCCTGAGTACCTGATGGGGCTCCCATGCAGAATACCTCTCCTGAAGGCTGCCTTGAGCTCCAAAGAGGCAGGCTGGAGCACACATCCAATTAAATATGCAAATGGCATTGCCTGCAGCGTGCTGCATCAGACTGTTTGGCTATTCAGTCAGAGGGGCAAGAGCATCAGGTAGGCAGATTTATACCTCATCATTTGCTACCTAAGCCCTCTGACTTGCCACGCATAGCCCAAACCTAGGGTGCTTTGCCATGGGGTTCACACATCATGACAAACGACCCACAACAGCTTAGGGCCCCGTTACCTGAAGGAGCATCTCCTTCCATATGTGCCTGCCCGTCCCTTAAGATCTGGGGCCCTCCTTGGAGGAGATGCTCCTTCCTTAGGAAGGTGGCTACCCAGAGAAGGACCTTCTCTGTGGTGGCACCCCATTGTGGAATTCGCTCTCCAGAGAGGTTCATCTGGCACCGCCACTTTATTCTTTTCGGCACCAGGGTAAACCCTTTTTCTTTTCCCAACATTTTAAGGTCTGACTGTTTTAATATGGGTTTTATTGTTGATTGGTTATGATTTTGACTAGGATGCTGCCTTTATTCTATTTTGTCTTATTGTTAAACTGTCCCAAGGCTATGGGAAGGGAAGTTCTAAAAAAGCTTCAGATAAATAAACCAATAAATTCGACATTAGCATGGTTTCCACTGTCCCCGCTCAGTCCTCCTGCTGTTGCCATGTATCCCATCGGCTACCACACCTGAAATTCAGTCCTGCAGTGGCTTCTGCTCTTTCCAGGGGACTCTATGGAAGCCCCATGGAAACCATGATGTCAGGTTTGAAGGACCAGAGAAACCATGGTCAAGCATCATAGAACAGACTTCTGTTTCTTATCATGGTTTCTATCAAGTAAACATTTGGCAAGGTTCAGATGACACAACAGGCCACCCTGAGCAAAAAAACACTATGGCAAACACTATGAAAGGTTTGTGTTTCAGATGACACAACATTGCAAGATGCAGCCTTTTACAGACATGGTCCAAAACTGGAATATTGCCCTTATGCCATTATTCAGGATATGCAAGCCGGAAAAGAATGCAAAACTCCTAAAAGTTAAAAAGACAAACTGCAAACAAACAAAACCCTTACATTTGTGGTGCAGTAACATATTCAAACAATTGCATGATTAAGAAAGACTCCCAGATGGGTTGTGGGGATTCAGGTGAAGGGAAACCCTCTCCAGGCTTAATCTGACTTATCGCCACAGAATCGAGAAAGATCCTTCCCACAAACGGTACATTTACTAATATGAAACACCTAATCCACCAAGCATCCAATTCAAAGCCAAAACAAGCAATAGATGAGGACTACAATATTGCAAAGTTCTCATACAAACACAGAGGCCCCTTGCTGCCCAAGAACAACCTGCTACCAGAGTCTGCTAAAAGCAACAAACCAAACTTGCTGACTGATAACGCCTTCTTGCTACACATGCATTGCTTGGAAACTGTGTGACAAAAGCATTTGCCCCACACATGGAATATCCTTGGAGCAGGAGTGCACTGGAAGAACAGAAACCAGCTGCTTTTTGATGTATTGATGAAGTATGGAACAAGTCATGGGAAGCCTTCGACTGGGTCCCTCCCGCTTCCCAAAGTGGCGGCAGTTAAGAGTTCAGAAGTGTTTGCTTCCGTTCTCGTTGAGCTACACTCGACCATGATACATGACCCCAAAGTGTGTTTCCTTGGCTAGGAAACACTTCCCCAGTTGATCCATTAGATGGGCCCAGTTGCTGAAAGTAGCCAGCGTCGCAGGGCAGGTGTGATGCTGGGACGGATCAAACAGAAGCAAACGCTTCCGTCCCCATGCCGCTCCACCGAAGGAGCAGGGTGGATCATGTGAAGTGAGACCTGGAGAACTTGGACGCACAGTTTATCATTATGGAAGGACAGAGATGGAATGAAAGAGGGTTGGAGGTGAGAAAACTGAGGTCGGGAAGCCTCCTTTATTTTGGGTACATAGAACGACATAGTTGCATTCAATCGTGCAAAACTATCACTTGCTCAGAAATCCTAAAAATATTCACCCATCTGGCTACACATGGTGAGAAGGAGGGATCACACAGTGCAGAGTGTGTGTCAGGGAGAGGGAATGATACAATTAAGGATACGACGACAAGGGTCCCTGTCGTCCCAAACATGCCATAACCCACCCCTGCCAAAAGGGGGGCCCCTCACTCTTGGTACCCGTCCCCTTCAGGGGTGGAGCATCTCTCAAGACCAAAATCCCTAGCGCACCTTTTGTGTCCTGGAAGACGAGTAATTTTGGAAGAGGGGTAGGATTCGGTCCTGCCTCGGGCATAGACAACACTGCATTTTTAAAGCCACTTCAGTGCAGATGTTTCCATGGCAACGACTGGACCAAATACATTAGTGTTTCTAATAATAAACCCAACCTTCATCTCGGAAGACCTGCCTTCCTCAGGAACCCCTCTTCCAGCCTTCACCCCCACAATCGGCCCTTAACTTTCCCTTCCTGGGATGGACGACTCCTCCAAGAGAGGGAGCAGCCGAGCTGGCGCCTGGATGGGCCCTGCGGGATCTAAGCCCCGAGTGATGCGAGGTGGGACCGGTTTGTCCCAAACAAAAGTGGTCCGCCAAAGCAGTTTGAGACATAGTGTGGGGTGTGGGCATAAACAAAGCCGGATGAATGAAAGGCAGGCAGGCAGGCAGGCTTAAAGTCCTATCCTGCTCCATCAAATGCAAATAATTCACTCGTTGTGACCAGACTGCTCAACCCGCGCCCCACGCCTGAAGAGACTCTGGCTATATTTTCTAAGCCTCTTGCCTTTCCCTTTTGACTTTTAAAAAGAACTATCGGAGGCCGGTCTTTCCCCCACACAAAGCACCCTTTTGACCCCATTTTGAGGCACTGCTCATCGGGGATCAAAGTAACTGGAGACAAAGCGGCAAAGCTCAGGAATGGCAAGAGCTGTTCCCAAGAGGGGTCTGGGAGGATTAAGGAGACCGAGGACCTGAGAACAACGGCCAGCTGCCAAGGGAGAGTTAAAGCTCCAACAACATTCCTGAAAGGAATCAGCGAGGTACCTACCCCCCCCCGCCCCTGTGCACACACTCTTTCTGCACGCCCGTTCATGCCTCTGTTTCTATTCACAGTCACCGTGCAAGGCCCGAACCCAAATGCAACCAGAGCTCCTGCACTCCCACCTCCTCCATCACCCCCAGCCGGCAGCTGGCCAAAGCTGCATTGGACGTAAGTGGGGAGGGGGCCTGGGGGGGGGCACGGTCCCCAGCATGAATGGAAAAGGCGGTTTGCAGACAGCCCGTCATGCAAAGCATCGGTGACATTTTGTCGCTGGGACGATCTTGGTTCTATTTTTATTTAGGTCACAAATTCTCAAAGGCACACGCTGATTCCTCCTTCACATGACGGCACGTCTTGCGTTGCACATAGGCACAAGGGTTGACCGTACACACACGCACGCACACACACACACTGGCATGCACACCCAGCCTGGCCGTCGCCTGTCACGCTGAAATGTCACGCGCCAGACCATGTTCGGTGCCTCTCCCGCTCCCGCTCCCGGCTCCTCGGCAGGCGCGAGCGGCTGGTTCCGCCGGCTCCTCGGATGCTCCGCTGGCGGCACTTACCATGTCAGCACTGAGCTGTGCTAAGATGGCGAAGGTAGAGATTCTGTCACAGAGGCATTTAGTCCGGAAAGGATCGACCGGGACCGTTCGGCAGCCACGCCAGGACCAGGCACCAAGCTGAGACGAGGAGAAGGAGGAGGAGGAGGAGGCGGCAGTGGTGGTGGTGGAGGAGGGTCTGTGAAGGGAGGGGGAGCACAGTGCAGAGAAAGCCAGAGAGACGGAGGGGGAGAGAGGCAAAGGGGGAGAGGGAAGGAAGAGGAGAGAAGAAAACAAGCATCACCGACACATTGCCAGAGAATAAACAGCACCACAGCCATGGCCCCGCTGCGCGTGTGGGACTCCCACCAATGCACGGCCCCCTCCCGTGGCGCATGTACACACCTTCCTGCACACCTGCAGCATCGCCCCGACGCTCCTGCTGCCCTCTCCTCCTCGAGCCACTACAAGTGGCGCACCGGGCCGTCCTTCGAAGCAGGGGTGCTCTGCCCTTCCAAAAGGCATCCCCCCAACCCCTGGGACCCCCATCCACCTCCCCTCACAAAGCGCTCCCTGGCAGGCACAGAACTTCTCAAGAGAAGGATGTCCCAGCGCTGTGAGACTTTGCTCAGTTGGTTGCTCTCAGGGGGTCCCAACTCACTCTCCAAGGTAGGACCCACGAATACAGAGAGACGCACACCTGGAACACCACTTTCTGCTCGACAAGGCTGCTTCTTTATCCGGGGGCACGCTTTTCCTTCCCCATCAGTGCCATGCACGACCCATCCTTCGGAAGACCTTCCCTGACACGGGCATCTCTTCCCCCCACTGGAATGCCTCTCGCTTGCTGTGCAGGCAGAAACTTCAGCCTTCCCCACACAGCTCCCGGAGCATGAAGACACTTGCTCCAAATGTCACAAACACCCCAGTACTGACACATCAACCTTGCTTGCTGCAAACAATGCCAGCAGGCGCGGCTCTTCCACCCACAACCATCTCACGCTGAAACACACACAGCGCAATCACACCGTCCATCGCAACTGTCCACACACTCACATCCATTCCATCTTCAGAGGGCCGTTCCCATGCTGGCTGGCAGAAAACCTGCGTTTGCCTCTGTGCTGAGGATTCTCATTAGCAAGATGCGGTCCGTCCTGGCTCTCCAATGAAAATGAGACACATCTCTCTCAGAACACATGTTTGCTTCCTTTCCATATTACTTTTCCCTCCCTTCTTGTATGTGTGTGCATGGGGAACTCTTTAAATAGACCACATGCACAGATGTCTGGAAACCCCTTCAGATGCCTCCTTCTTGACTGTCCTGCAGTGAACAGGCCGTTTCTGGAGGAAGAGAAACATGTGGCCATGGAGAACTCCTTCAGGCAGGAAGGGGCTCCTAAGCTCTCCACTGGCCCACGTCCTTTGTGATTCAGAACGCTCGCAGGAACAGGCACTCGGATTGTGAAAATAACAGCTGTTGCCCCAGTGTTTTTGACTGTCTCACTGATCCCCTCTGTAGCTCCTCCCACATCACGGATCTGTGGGCAAAGCTCCCCGTGACTTTCCAAACTCTTCACATGCTCTCTTGATGTCACTCCAGGGTCCACACAGTGCTGCCGTACATTTCTATACATGTTCGGAGGGAAAAAAAGTCCAGCTCTTCCCAACATAGCCCAGCCACCTAGTGAAGTCGGGGAATTTGGTTTCTGCTTGCAAAATATCAGAACGTGCTCTGTTTGCAAATCAGTACACGTAGGGGAAGGTGCTCTCTGACAACGTTCGCAAATTCTTGAACCACACATGCGCAGAAAATACACATTCATTTCCCTATCAAATGTTCAAAACTGCACATTTTTAAAAATGTACCATTCGATGCTCGGGGCAATGGGGATTTCTACAACTGTGTGCAGCTTTGGGGGAAAACCCCCCTAGTGCAGTCCTCTTATTTTGAACAAAGCAAAGAGTGGTGAGTATTGACCGGATGTTGGGAGAATCTTGGTGGACTTTAGCATCACCCATTGGTCCTTCCTTACAGCCAGACAGACTGATGAGGATGCAGTGGGACTTGTACTTTTCCTTCCTGTCTAATACACTGAACTGCATCCTTAGGTAGCTATCGTCTGCCTTCCACCTTTATCTGTCGGGAGTGCTGCTGGTTTTGTGATAGAAGTTCAACGCCATGCGGCTTCAGTGTGCCCATGTGAACACAGGGGAAGATGCAGCTTTTGGATGTACGGCTGTCGCAGACCAGTGACTGGAGCAAGGTAGGGTCTTTAGCCAATATTGGTTTCTGTTGCATGTTCTCTCTCTCTCTCTCTCACACACACACACACATATGTACAACTCCTTTTCTCAGCACAGGTCATGCCTCACCTAACCATCCATCCAATTCAACATGCAGCCAGGCTGGCCTGCCACTGGTCCCAGCCTCTGAGGACTTGCTTAAAATTGAATTCAGCCTTGGAGCCGCACTTGGGCTGACATCCCTAAGGGGGAGGCTTCCACTGTGACCCTCCACCGCCACCACCTCCACCGTCCCAGCAGCAGCTCAGAAAAGAAGTGGCAACAGGAAGGTAGAGCTGAAACTAGTTCCAAGACATGGATTGGAGAGGAAGAGAGAGCGGAAGGGGGAGACGGGCTTCAGCTGGTGTCCAGACAGGGCCAGATTAAGCCCGAGAGTCTCCCTTTGGAGGGAATGCCGCACGGAGTCCCACCATCAGTGGGTCCTTTAGACCGTGGCCTCCTGCTCAACTCTGAAGGTGATGGCTGCGTCTGAGCACAGCCAGGTGGGCCCATGTGGGGACATTTTACCAGCTCGTATGAGAACAGTGAGGAGGTGGCCGTGGGGGTTTCTCTGCTCTGCTTAGGAACATAAATGGGGGATATTTCGCTTAAATTTCAGCAAAGGATGTCAGGCTGCCCCCCCAAAAGGGGAAGAATAATATTCAGATACAATTCTGCAAAGTGTCCCTCTTTCTCTAGGAGGTGTGATGAAAAGAAAAGAAAAAAAAAGAATTGCAGAAAAGTTCTCAGAAGTTTGAGAAAATTTGGCTTTTCTCTACAGCCCAAAGTTGTATGGTCCAAATGAGGGCCGCAGATGCTGGATGTGAGGACCGTGGCCAAGGCAAATTCACCTGTGTTCCCAATCTGGCCCTTCAGGGTTCACCTGATGGCCCTGCCCCTTCCACTAGCCCCTCCCCCTTATAGTATGGGAGGATAATCCCAGCCTCCCTTGGCACACACACAAGATGAAGACGTAGGCACTGGTGGCAAGTGTTCGAAACGACAATGAACTCTCAGTTTTAGTCCTGTTCATTCTTCTGGAATGTCCATCACTGAACATTTCCATAACTGTCACCTCCAAAATTGAATGTTGCCCATGAGCTGGAAGAGGAGAGGAGAGGAAGCAAGTTATGAAAGACTGGCCTGGGAAGTGTATTGCAAACACGTGCACCCTAGCTTTCCAGATGTTTGTCTGCCCATTCTTCAGAAAGTCCTCATAATCCTAAGGAGAAACCCTATGGCTTCGTAGAATACCATTTAAAAAGACCCCAGTAAATGCTAATGCTAAATGTGTGTGCATATTTGTGAGTCTATTTGAATATACTGAGTGTGTGTTTTAAGAAAATAAAGCCAAAGAGAGGTGCAAGACAGGAACACACACAGAGAGAGAGATTACTGGGAAGAGGATAGATAATGTCAAGATTTATATGTTCCCTGGAGGAATTGGAACACTACAGCTAGTGGTGGAAAGAAAGAAAGTCCTAATCATATACAATTCCAAACATCTGCCCGCAGGCTGAGGACATGAGAAGTGCCATGGATAATGGGGTGTGAGAACTATGCTCAATTCATGAGTAACGCACAAGGGACAAGAACTCTGGATGCAGAGGGGAGTGATTAGCTTTACAGAGTGAGAGATGAGGGCTCAGTGTGAGTCTCCCCATTAAGAGGTCAAGGAAGCAGGGATCTGAAAATCCACAGGCAGGTTTGGTAAGAGGAAACCGTCAAAGTTCAGAGGGAGAAAATGTATCCTCTACTGCCATACAGGGTAGGTAAATCTGGGTTCAACTTGGAAGCTGTGAATAGAATGCCCCAAGCAGTTCTTTTGACACCGTTTGCCTTGCAAGCTCTTTGATATCATTATATGTGGCACCACGAATTCACAGATGGTGGGAAGCTGTGGCTGAGAACACTGGCAGCAAAGCAAATGGGAACTGTGACTGCGAGGGGCAGTATCAGAACAAGGCAGGTAGCAGCCAATGAAACAGGCCATCCTGGTCAGGGTCCATTTCACCTAAGTCCATCCATAAGCCTGCCCCATCCAGTTTCCACATCGGCCTGTGCTTCGCCTTGTACACCGCTCTCCCGCATGTGCGAATGCTGCATGCGACTTGCCCGAATATGCACATTTTGAATGCTGTGTTCAAAGTATATCACAAGATCTGCAGAAGTTCACAAGCTGTCTGATAACTCTTTTTCAGTCTGCATGTTCATCCAGGAACTGCAAATGAGGTCGGCCTGCTTAAAAATGTGGAGCAAATGGAATTCTTGCCCAGCACTTGTTCTCTGAAATCCGCAATGCTTTTTTTCTGAAACAAGATTGACAACTCATAGCCTTGGAATTGAGCAGACCTATCAACGCCGTTTGCAGGGGTATATGGGCAGGAGAATAATGTTGCGGCCATGTGTTGCTTGAGAGTGTCTCATGGGTCGGTGGTTGGCCACTGTTTAAACAGGAAGGTCAAGCTCTCTGCTTGCTATGTCAGAGATGCACATGGAATAATCAGTTCAAGATGTGACAACCCAGATTCAGGCTGGGCACCAGGAAAAGCTTCCTCACTGTCAGAGCAATGCGAAAGTGGAACCAGCTGCCTGGAGAGGTGGGGGTTCTCCCACACTGGAGGCATTCAGAAAGAAACTGGGCAGCCCTCTGAGTGGGATGGTGTGATTTGGTGCCCTGAAATAGCAGGGGGATGGACCTGATGGCCTTCATGGCCCCTTCCAACTCTACTATTCTATGGTTCTAGGACATGAGTTGAGATGGACCCAGCATGGCTTGTCTTCCATCCTTCCACAACACTCACCTCAAATACAATATGAGCATTATACCTTCTTCTTTGGCCTGGATGTTCAGCTCAGTCCAAGTGTTCCTCCCTTCATATAGTCCCCGTCCCCGTCCCCAGCCCACCATCCAGG